CCGCGACGTACCCCTGCCCCGCTCCCACTAAGGAGCAGGGAGGGGAGCCCGCCGCGGCGCAAGCCACGATAGCCACGGAGCCCAACCGGTCCCCGAACCACTTAGGGTCATCAGGGACCGCGTAGGGCTCCGCAGCTATCCCCAGGCCGCAACCACGCTCCGCCAGGCCATGGACAAAAAGGTCCTGGCGCCTGGCGGGCATGATTGAGGTTCGCCTGCAATACCTTATTCTGGAGATGTCGCATCCCCCGTTGTCATCACCAGGGTGCCGTCAATCTCCGTCGTTTCCACCGCTGCCGGTAGATCCTCCACCTCGGGGGCCGCATCCGGTTGCGACTGCTGCTGCTGCTGCTCCGGCTGCATCTGCTCGTCCCTCTCCCTGGGTCCGCGCTTCGCTTCCGAGGTCGGGGACGCTTCCTCCTCGCCTTCCTTCCGAGCGGGGTCTCTTCCTCTTCTCCCGCTGGGGCTGCGGAGGAGGGGGCTCTTCCGCCCCCCCCCGGCACCGCCACCGTAGACTCTTCGGCCCCCCTCACAGCCGAGGGGGGCTCTTCAGCCACCACGGGAGGCGCCACCGCCGCGGGGGTCCTCGGAGCCCTCCTGGCTCCGGGAGTCACCGCCACGGGGCCCGATTTCCCCTTGTTATCCCGCCCCTCCTCACAGGGCACAGGCCTTGCTACCCGCCCTGTGCCTGGCCGGGCGCCCCAGGTCCGCGCACACGGGCAACGTGGATCAGCCACGCAGCCCCCGGCGGTATGACCAGGACACCCGCACCGATAGCACAGGGCGCTCCTGTCCACCGTGGCCTTACATTGGGCCCTAACGTGTCCTATCTCCAGGCACTTATAACACTGGGTGGGGCGAGGTTCCAAGACCTCCACCCTCACCCTGGACCAGCAGATCCTAATCGCTCCTTCCTTGGCCAAGATCCGCGCCGGTCCCAGCGGGCATCTTACCCACGCCGCATGTAATCCGTTGGGGGCCCTCCTCATGGGGCCCCACCCTGAAATTAGCGGCTTCCACCCCCGTCGCTTGGGCAAGGCTGGCCGCCACCTCTTCCGTCGTCATCGCCTCGTCCAAGTTATGAAGGCGCAGGTCCGCCGTCCTCTCCGGTCGGCCGACTCGCACTCCCTCCATATGCGCCAGCTCCTGGCGCAGTCTAGCCGCCAGCTGGTCCGCTTTCCTCGCACCATCCACGCCCGGCACCCCGAGGATCCCGTACGGGTCCTGCTAGGTCTGACCTCCGGTATGCCCAGCTCCACGATGTCCACGCGGGACCGGGCACATCGGAGGACATCGGTGTATGTGCCGGGGGGGCACGTGATCGTGACCGCAGCGGTGGGCGGGGGGTCTGGCGACTCCCACCCCCCGCCGCGGCACGGCCCCGGTTGCCCCCCCCTCCGTCCTCTTCTTGGCCGCTGGGGTCCTCGTCTCCGCCTGTCTCTTCCCCTTTCGGCCCGCGACCGTGGCCCACGTGGTAGCCACGGTCGCGGCCATCGCGGGTGGGGGATGAGCCGGGGCTCCAGCCGCACCCGCGGCCGGTTCAAGCCCTTTCCATCTCCTCCCTCCTCGGGCCCTTTTCCAGGGTTGGGGCCCCCACAGTGGGGCCCCCCCCCTCGCCTTGGGCCTTCTTATCTTCTTCTTTTTTTTCTTCTTCTTCGGGGATTCTCCCCCTAACAGGGGAGGTCCCCTTCTCCCTTCCCGCATCGGGCCTTCGCCCTCCCCCACCTCTCCCGCCTCCCCGTCCCCACCCCTCACAGGTGGGGCCGGGGCCGGGAAGGTAAAGAATGAGGGTGTATGCGGTGTCCCTGGAGTGGTAATAGCGCGCAGGTACAGTTGCTCCATCTGGGTGATCGCCCGCTCGAGTCTCCCCACCCGCCGGAGGCTGCTGCTCGTCAGCCCCTCCTCCCTCCTTCCGCGTTGTTTGCCGTCATCTCCTCTGCTCATTGAGGTCTCGGGGGGGGATGGCATCACATCCACCTCCATTCCACCCCCCACCAGGGACGAGCTGGCCCGAATAGCGGCCAATGCTGGGGCCATCAGCCCCTGTCCTCAATAGGGATGTGCCCACGGAAACCTTTCGTGGGGTCATCCCCTTCTCCTCCTCCATAGGAGAGGTCCCGAAGGACCTCGTTAACCTAGGCGCCGGCTGGGGAGCCTGCTGCTGTGGCGGAGTCCTCTGCACTCCCCGAGGAGGAGTGCGAGAACATCCGCCCAGCGATCTCCGACCGAAGACGGACTCCTGAAGCTGCGTCTCCAAATCTGTCACGCTCCGGGCCATCTTGGCGTTTTCCTTGCGGAGTACTGCAACCTCCTGCCGCAGCGCCCGCACCTCCTCACTCGCCTCGAGGGTCCCCGCCTCACCTGCTCTCGTAGCAAGAACCGTGGCCGCCGCCGAGACCATTGTCGCCGCCTCTCGCAAGACCCTCACGTAGGGTCCCTTGAGGGACTTTGAGGTCCCGGGCCACCTTCTCCACTGCCGCCGCCTGCTCGAGAAGTCTCGCCGCGATGTCGTTAGAAGGCGCCGCCTTCATTTCCTCGACCAGCTCGTCCTCCTGCGCGATCTTCGCCCATGTCCGCGCCGTACGAGGCGGCGGAGGGCGAGCCGAATCCAGGATGAAGAGCTCCTCCTGCTGCTCCTCATAGGCCTTCCTCTGGGCCATCGCCAACTTCTTCTTTTCCCACTCACCAGTAGTGGTAGGACGTCCTGGCCCTCTAAGATTGGGAGGTGGCAGTATCCCATCCTCCTCCTCGTCTTCGTCGCCGACATCCTCCGACGTCGAGGGGACCCTGGAAGAATGGGGTAGGTTAGAGTGACCCCCCCTCTCCGCCCTCCCTCTCATCGCGCGCGTCCGCGTCCCAACTATCGGCTCCATCGCGCCCCCGCTCGAAGCCGAACAGAAGTCCGACTCCTCGCTTTCATCATCCGAAACATAATATTTTTTGGGAAGCCATATTGCATAGATATTCGACTTACGACGGTTCGCCCATCATGGGACCCCTACCGCAGTAGGGGTACTATCCCCGCCGGAAATTCGCCCCTAGTAAAAGTACACCGAAGCCGAGAGGCGGCTTATCGGGTGGCCGACCCTATCGGTGCACTGAGTGACTCTACTAAAAAGTGTTACGGGATAGGCCCGCGCCATACATGATGTTAAAGGTTTAACGTCACCCCTATTGAATGGGCCTGGCGGATCCGAACCGCCAGGTAACCAAACTTCGGGCTAGACGGTGCTGGGGAAATGCCACCCCCAGCAGTGGTATGAGGAAATACTGGCCAGGTAATCCTCCATACCTGCGCCTGGTTACCCCACTTCAACCCCGGGAGAGGCTCCGATCAACGGAGAGGGAGCGGTTTTCCCACATTAAACATAGCCCTTCAGGCGGTCTTTGCAAGCCCAGGACTTATGCACCCGCATCTTCCAGGCCAGAGGTCAGGTACCAACGTCACCTCTCCGCCACGGTCGGGGGGCAACTACTCCCCCCTTGGTTAGTTTCTCGGGAATATCCGTAGGGGCCGGCCGCAGCTCACACATCCATCCGCCACGCATTCATCACACGGACGAACAAATACCCCTCACTAGGACACACGCAGACACCACCCACACCCACGCATCCACGCGCACACTCACACCCCCAAAGCCCCCCCATCCCGTGAAGAGGCCGAAGGGGAACCCGGTCAGCTTCGCCCCTCCCCCCCCAGCCGCCGCAAGCCATCTCCCCGTCGGGTTTTAGACCGGTCTTTGGGGAGACAGCCGTAGCCAGCATGGGAGGCTCGGGGACGACTCCGCCGTCTTGTCCCTTCGCGCCCTCTTCGGTCATCCCTCGGCCCCGACCCCGGAGTAAGTCCAGGCGGCCCGAGCGATGACGTGGCCGACCGGGCCCGGGAGTTCCGGAACACCGATCGCCCACTGTGTGGCGTCAGGAGCCACACCATGCACGAACCGGCACCCAAGAGTGCACTCCCGCACACGGCACACACACACATTCACACGTGGGAGTCGCCGATCGGGGTGATCCCCGCCTCTGGCCTGGCGGATGACTAAGTCACCCATCCAGTCCTTCGGGCGAGGGCCCCGACCCGCTCCCACTTTTCCCCAGCTGAGGGACGCTTCACGGCGGGAGCACCCGCCGATCCGCCACCCCATCCCCCCGGACAGGAGGCCCATCCGACCAGGCAAGCCCGGCCGGCCCCCCCTGTCCACTGTGGGACGCCGAGAGCCGCACCGCGCCCGAGCCGACACCACAAGGGGTGCCCTCCCGGACGCGGGAACGAACTCCCGGCCACCACATCCTCCCCACTGAGGATCCAGAAGACCCCAAGCCAGGATGCACGCCCTAAAAAGGACGTCATCCCCAGACTCCAGGTCCCCCTTCACCCCATCCCCCCTTGTGGCTTACATACGAGAGGCTACTAACCCCCAGGGTGGGAGCACCCACCTAACCACCGGGATGGTAGGCCCCGCCAAGGCAGGGTCATCCCTAACGGTCGTGGTCAACCGGGCGATTGAAGTCAGGGCCGCCTACCCCTATGCGCATCAGGCCAAGGTGCCCGGAGGGAGCGCAACCCCCCTTCTCATGGTGTCCGCCACGGCGACTTTGGATTTATCCTCCGCCGCCGCCAGCGACGAACACCACGAGGAAGTGCAATGGTGTGCTCTTAGACCCCCCAACCCAATGGGAAGAGGGGAGCTCCTCCACCACGACAAGGTGGCACACCATCGGAGGAGGAACCTAACCTAACCTTTTTTTTTTTTTTTTTTTTTTTAACGACGGGGAAAATGCATTACGCAGACCCCCAAGGCGCCAAGACGGCGCGCCAAGGGGGGTACTGTGGGACTCCCCGGCCCTCGGGAGAGGCTAGTCCTCTCCCTCGGTGTGCAATGCCGGGTATACCCACTAAAAACCCCGTCGTGCAGCCACCCGTGCTGCTACGCCCAGTCCCGGGTCCAAGTGTATAACAATACCCCGGAGACCGGGCAGCCCGGGCCATTTAAGGCCCCCTACTCGTGGCTACAAGGTAGTAGATTTTCATCTACTACGTAGCCCAGCGATCTCCAGATCGCCAACTCCTCCGCCAGCTCCACGTCAGGAGGCCGTCTCCTTTGACGCGGCTGGCTATCCGCCTTGTGGGGGGGAGGTTTCCCCCCCTGCTCCTGGTCCAAGCCAGGAGCACGCCCGGGGCCATCTGCCCGCGAGGCCTCTGCCTCGGACGGGGAGCCTTTCCGGCGTCCCCGTTTTTTCCCAGGGGGGGAGGCACCGCCTTCAACCCCCCTGGGTGACGCCGCACGGATCCCCGGCTTATCGCCCCCCTCCGACCATCTGTCGGGAATGGGGCGGCCAGGGACCCGGCATTGGCGCCTGAGATGGGAGGGGGAGCCACAATTGTAGCACAGCCCCTCCCAATCTCTGCCGCCACACCGGTGCGCGGTGTGATCCACCGCACGGCACCGGAAGCACCCCTCGGGCCTGACCGTCGGCTTAACAGCCGAACCAGAGCCCGGGGGGCGTACGCCATCTTTTCCCGGCCTGATGCCGGGAGCGGGGGGGGTCTTCGCGTCAGCAGACGTGTTGGACACCCCCCCACTGCCCTCTTCCTGAGGGGGGGAAAGGATGTCGAGTGCGACATCCCCTCCCTTCGCCCGAAAAATCCTAACGGGCCCCAACCCCGGTACTCGGATCATAAGTCCAAGTGTCCGGGGAGAACTGGGCCCAGGAGCCTTCTCCCGCGCAGGCGGGGGCGGATGCGCAGTCTCCTGCGCAGCCGCCGCCTGCGCATATGTGGGCCGTGACGGCCCACTCCCACTAATTGTGGTGGGACGAGGCCCACCACTGGGCTTAACGCCCATCTTCTTCTTCCCCCCAGATGGAGGGGGGAGGGAGGATTAGACCTCCCTACACTAGTGCCCTCATCGAGGGCCAAAGGAGGAGGGACCGTTGGCTGGACTCTACGGTCCGACTCCTCAATAACACCCGTCCGGATGGGAGAGGTGCTCCTGTCCACCCTCGGACATAAGGTGGGAACAGGACACGCCCCACTCGGGTGCGCTTCGGGCGGGGTAAGGGCCCTGGTGTCGGGGTCCGCCACCGCCTCAAAGGCCGCCTTCTCGAGGACCTTGCAGGCTCTTTTGAGCCGCACCCGGTCCCTTTGGGTCCTACGCTCGACCTTCTTCAAGGTCAAACTGACCTCCTCTAGGAATTCGAGGAGGGGGAGCAATCCAGGAGGAGGAACCAAGGATTCCCCCCACTCCTCTGCCGCCCGTCGAAGCTCGGCCACTTCGGACAGAGTCCGGCTCTGGCCCTCCATGACCGAGGCCAATACGTTTGGGGTGGTTGCCCTTGCCCCCCCGGTGCCCACCCGTGACACCGAGGGTAGCCCGTCGTCAGATGACGACGGGGGAGGGGCCGGGACAGTACCCCCCTCACCCGCCGGGCCCTGGGGGTCCGAATCCCCTGGGCCGGTAACGTCTTTTTCTTTATAGGCCATCATCATGTTTATAAAGAACTTGGTTTTCTGTCGGGGTTTTCCTTCCCTTAGGACACGCCGTCCAGAGGCTCACGGGCTGTCCAGACCGGGTTTTTATTCGAGGTTTTCCTTCCTCTAGTCACCGGGATGGTAGGCCCTGACAGTGCAGGGTCATCCCTAACGGTCGTGACCGACCGGGCGATTGTAGTCAGGGCCGCCTACCCCTATGCGCATCAGGCCAAGGTGCCCGGAGGGAGCGCAACCCCCCTTCTTGTGATGTCCGCGCGGCGGCTTTGGGCTACTCTCATACTCGCTACTCACGGCCTGAAGGCCGCTTTCGTTTTCGGTTTCACCCTCCACCACCGCGACGAATTTTAGTTGGCTGATTTCGCTAACGCAGATTTATTCTGTTATTCTCTTACCTATTCTGTCATACAATGGAACCGACTCCGGCTAGTAAAACTGACGAACCATCTGATAAACATGATAGAGTGCAGCAGAAACGTACTAAACGAAAGGGTCCTAAACCTTCATCTAAGAGACGCCCTGGAAAATTTTCGTTTAGAAAAGAGTAAAGATACAATGTCCGAAATTCATCGCGCGGCATTAGAGAGAACTTCCATTTCTGTTGATAAACTAGTTTCATGCCTCAATGAAATGCAGGTAATCTCCCAGAAACAAGAAGTACCTCTTCCTATCACTACTCGTGGCATTGGCTATCTCGTACATGAATCGTATAAAGAAGCCATTAGTACCTGTCCTAAAGCTAGAAATGTCTGCTCTGAGGAAGCGGCTTACCGTGTTACGCTATCCCAATTGCAAGTACAGCTGGTCAATTCTGATAAGCAAGCCACCCTGAGCGATCCGATGTTAGAAGGGTGTAGTTATGAGCGTAATATGATTTCTACTACTATGTTAGAACAGGCTGCCAGTATGTCTCAATCATTTCGATTGACTGCTGATGTTGTTAATTCTGTTGGGCGTTTTGATCATCTTGGAACATCGTTCCGACCGATTTTGAGAAGTGCGTACATTGGCGGTGTTTCAAACCGAAAAGGCGACGCTGAGGATTTAATACCAGATCCCTACGTTGTAACCTTTAAGAACTTACATTCCACTGTCGTGGCCTTAGCCGATGAGCAAGTTGAAGCTAGTGCGCGCCAGTACTTCCGCGAGAACTGTGCTATACCAGGCACCACTTGGAACGCGAATAAGCTATTGAATGGTCCCACTATCATACCAACTAGTTATGGTGTAGGAGACCTCGCTTTTGACCAGCGATGCTTTCGCGGCTTCCTTGCAACTATTTCCGGCAAGTGCCCCCACTTGGTGGGCGAGTGTACCTTTAGTGGACGTGGTAGTCCGGCACAATTAGTCACCTGTTTCAAAGAACCATTTAAGTTGGAAGGGTATCGGATCACTGTGCCACCGGACTCCGTTCGATTCAGGTCACTCCGACAAATCGAGCCCGGCTTTATGCTGCGTGGCGCGATCGGATTGCTCGGTGAACTACCTAAAGACGACACTAGCGCTCTTTATGCCATACGCTCTCCATTGGTTGCTGAACAGTACATAGATGTTTGCTGGAGTATGCTTGTTTCACGAGCGCTCAGTAGATAAGCAACAATGTGTTCGGGTCGAAAGACCCATGAGGGGACGGGACTAGCGGTTAGCGGAGACCCCAGTTCTTAAACTGGCCTATCCCCATAGCGTCCGGACTAGTCATCGGGGGAGAACCTAACCTTTTTTTTTTTTTTTTTTTTTTGATAACGCAGGAGAAATGCTTTATGCATACCACCACCCTCGGGGGAGGAGTGGATGGTTATGCGGGACTCCCGGTCATTGTCGACCGGTTTACCCGCTAAAACTCCTGCGGTGGCCTTCCGCGCGTTTGGAGGGGCAGGCGGGGACCAGGGACTCGCTGATGCAATACTTCTGCATCCCCGACTGTGGTTCCCCTCCGCGCTTACGACCCAGCAGCGTTTTGGCGGCCGCTGGGTCTCCATCCCGAGGGAAAGGAGCATTAATAATAATAATAATAATAATAATGCTCCCTCCCCTCTCTCTTTCCTCTGTGGGCGAATGGGGCCACGCCATTCACCCACCTTCCTCGGGGACTTTGATTAGACCGCCACAAGCCCCCGCTCATGACGGTCAAGTCCCGAGGGAATTGCGACAAGGCCGCTATATCAGCAGCCCCTGCCGCGTACTCCAAGTGAGGGAGAGAGGACGAATTGTCCTCTCTTCTCCCACCGTTCTTTCGTCATATTGGAGGAGGGGGACTGGGTTGTTGTCCCCCTCCTCTCTATCTCTGTGGTGTGAGTTACACCACTGAGGTGGGAGGGAGGGACCTAGTCCCTACCACTCCCGCCTCGCCATCCCGTACGTTTGTACGCTTTTCCGTCCGGAAAAGGTCCCTAGGGGAGATGTTTGCGCTACCGCAGCATTGCCACGGCAACGGCCACATCTCCCCTTCATTGTCATCTCCCCAGGTGGGGAGACGGAGACCTCCTCCGGCATCTCCGTCTTGCTGCTGCTACTGCTGCCCGCGGAGTGGGAGAGGCCGGGGGTATGAGTATATCCCTGTCCTCCACCTCTCCCTCCTCCGCACTCTCATCGACGCTCTCCTCCTCCGCGTCCTCCTCTTCGCTACTTTGGCGGTCAGCCGCGGCCACAGCCGCAGCGGCCTCCGCTGCCGCCTCCTCCTGCCGACGCAGGCGTTCCGCCGCCTCCTTTTGGAGCATTACCGACTCGCAAAAGGAGGCGACGGCCTTCCACGCCTCCCCGCTGCCGACCATTTGTTGTACAAGGGCCGGCAGCGAGAGGTCTGCACCCACCTTCCTATTGAGATCTTGGCGCAGCCCATCCCAGGCCGGGGATTCGGCCAGGGTGTGCTGCGCCGTATCTCTCGCCGCCTCACAGTGGTGGCAGTGCGCGGTGTCCTCCCGTTTGATTCGACACAGGTACTTTCCGAAACAACCGTGTCCGGTGAGCACCTGTGTCAATCTATAGGTTGCCTCCCCCTGAGCCCTGTCCATCCATTCCGACAGACAGGGCCGGATGGCCCCGACGGTCCTCTGACCCGCGGTGTTCGGGTCGGAGAGGTGGGCATCCCACCTCTCTATCAGGGACCGCCGGGCGTGGAGCCGGATGACCTTTTTAATGCGGGCCGGCAGCTTTCTTCCGCCGAGGCCGCCCCGTAGTTCCCGCTCCCGCCAATATATGTCGGCATACATTTGAGCGAGGAACTCCAGGGGCGGCCAGCCCGCAATTATAGTGACCGCCGCATGGGAGACGGTACGGTAGGCCCTTACCACCCTCGCGGCCATGGTGCGCTGCACTCTTCTGAATGCATCTTTCGCGCTACGCATGGCCGCGAGATCCCGCGCCCAAATGGGCGCCCCGTACAGGGCCACCGAATTCACCGTCCCCACATATAGGCGGCGGACACGGCCATCCGGGCCCCCAAGGTTCGGCAAGAGCCGGCCTAACGCGGCCGACACCCGCTCGACCTTAGGGGCAAGGACACCAAAGTGGTGTCCAAAACTCCACCGGCCATCCAATAGGAGACCGAGATATTTTAGTCGGTCTCCCACCAGGATGGAGGCTCCTCCTACTCGGATACGGGTCTCGGGCGGCACCCCGGAGGCGCGACTATAAAAGAACATCGCCTCCGTTTTGTTAGCTGCCACCCTGAGACCCATATCGATGACACCGCGCACTACACACGCCGTTGCGGCTTCCGCCCTGGCCGCAGTGTCCCCCCAGTCCCCCCCCGCGGCCGCCACAATCGTGTCATCAGCATAGCATATGACATGGCAGCCGCGAGGGAGGGGAAGGCAGAGAACTCTGTCATATGCGAGGTCCCATAGCAGAGGGCCCAAGACCGACCCCTGCGGGACCCCGCAATGGACACTCCGTCGGTGCTGGAGCATGTCCGGTCCAACATACTCCAGCATTCTGTCCCGGAAATAACTTCGGATAATCCCCACGAGGTAGCTGGGGACGCCTCTTCTCTGGAGGGCGTCCCCGACGCAATCCCAGGGCAGGGTGTTAAACGCATTGGCGATGTCTAGCGACACCGCCATGCACACCCCGTCCTCTTCTATCGCGGCCTCCGAGAGGGACCTGACGCGTTTGATTGCGTCAATCGTTGAACGTCCCTCCCGGAAGCCGTATTGCTCCTCATGGAGATCTACCCCTTCCCGGGACAGATGCTGGACGAGGCGGGTAGCAATGATCCTTTCCAGAATCTTCCCTACCTCGTCCAGCAGGCAAATTGGCCTGTAACCCGACGGAGTGCCCGGTTCTCTGCCCTCCTTAGGAAGAAGGACCAGTTTGGCCTTCTTCCATTGAGGGGGGAACACCCCTCGCCTGAGGCACTCGTTAAAGATGTGCCTCAGGCGCTCGCCAAGGAAGTCAAGGGCCCGGACCCATATTTTACCGGGTACCCCGTCCGGCCCGGGTGCCTTACGCGACCCAATGCGCCGGACGGCCCGGATGATTTCGTCCCCGGTAATCTCCACATCCTCACTAATCTCGTGGGGTCCATCTAGATTCGGACCCCACTCGAGTGTGGACCCCTCCACCCGTTGGGGAAAGAGGGTTCTGTCGAGGATGTGGTCCTCCAGGGACTGCGTCACAGGGGGCGCCCAAGCTCTGTGCTTTCTCAACACTATCTTATATGGGCGCCCCCATGGGTCCGTGTTGAGCGACTTGAGTAAGTCGCTCCAACATGTAGCCCTCGACTTCCTAATGGCTCGGCTAAGGGAGCATCTAGCGTCCCTATAGGCGGCCAGGGAAGCAAGAAATATTATTCCATGAGGAACCGAAAAAGATATTTTATATGCCTAATAAATATATTATAATAAATATATATGAATACTATAATGAATATATATATTAATATACTCTAATGAATATACTATAATGAATATATATATATATTCATTATAGTATATTAGAGAGAGAAAGAGAGTAATACATAAAAATTTACAAAGCTCGCGGCAAATATCCAAAAACATCAG